CACACTACATTTACATGAACGATGGGGTTGTTTTGGCTTTGGGTCACCATAGGCTGCATGAGGTGTTTCAGAGAAGAGATATTTTTCACTATTGAGGGGACAAAGTCTGTGAAACTTGTCCAGGAAAGATAAATGATTTTTGTGTAGACTTTGTTTTGATATTGCATTGTAACATAAATTATTTGGAAACAAAATATTTGTTTTATTGCTTTTTACCGAATAAAAAATATAGCAATTACTGAGGTATCTAAAAACTCAGTTTAGAAGGAACACAAAGAATTCAAGGCTAAGGACAGGGCTGCAGTGCTCACGGAGGGTGATGAACTCTCTATTCCAGTGTATTTTGGTTTGTTGCTCAGTTTAATATGTTTACAAAACTGTCAAGCCTAAAAACAACCATAGCTAAGAAATAGAAAGGCTATGGTAACCAAGATATCCGTAATGTTATATTTATACCCTGGGATGGAGGTCTCTAAGTAAACACCCAGCTGCTTCTGTGAGTTCCCAGAAGAGAAACCTTTGAAGTTCAGGGAGTTGGCTAATGGTTCCTTTGATCTTCTTGGTATTTTTGCACTTCAGGGAGCTTTGGAGCAGAGCCATTTTGCTTATCACTATGCCTATTGTTAAGCAAAAGACCAAGCAACTTCCTCGATCTAGTGAGATAGGTGGCGCAGGTGAGAGGCAAGCTGGCGGAGCTGTCCGACCTGCCACTGCTGGCCTGGCTACTCCCAGGGGTCATTCTGGGTTGCAGCCCAAGTTGGCCTCTCCCTTAATCCATTTCAGTTGGTTGGGACAGTTGCTTTGTTGCTGCTAGCCTACGTTTTATTAAAACACTTTTCCAAAGCATTACCTACCCATAAAGGAATCTATCTCATAAAGATTTTATGATGATTCTTGGCATTCTAACACACTGTCCGTTCAGAAAACTACAGAAAGTTGTGAAGAACAAAAGGGTTTTATACGAGATGACCCTCAGAGATAATCACAGTACACATTCTGATGCATTTCCCTTCCATCTTTCTATTCTATAAATATATTTATTTTATGGGACTTATTTTGCATATGAAATTTGTGTGCTTTTAAATTTAAATTTTAAATTTATTTTATTTTAAAGGCAGAGAGACAAGAGAGATCTTCCATCCACTGATCACTGCCCCAATGCCCGCTACAGTCAGAGCTAAGACAAGCCAAGTCAGGAGCCAGAAGCAAGGAATACCATCCGGGTCTCTCACGTGGGCATCAGAGATCCCAGTACTTGAGCAATCATCTGCTGCCTCCCTGGTGCACATTCGACAGGAAGCTGGATGGGAAGTAGAGCTAGGAATTGAATCCAATGACTCCAGTACAGGATGTGGGCGTCCCAAGCATTGTCTTAACTGCTTTGCCAGACACTCAGCCTTGTGTACTTTTTTTTTTAAGATTTATTTATTTACTTATTTGAAAGCGAGAGTTACACAGAGAGAGGGGAGGCAGAGAGAGAGAGAGAGAGAGAGAGAGAGAGAGAGAGAAGTCTTCTATCCACTGCACTCCCCAGTCGGCTGCAATGGCCAGAGCTGTGCCGATGGGAAGCCAGGAACCAGGAGCCTCTTCCTGGTCCCCCACACGGCAGGGGCCCAAGGACTTGGGCCATATTCTGCTGCTTTCCCAGGCCACAGCAGAGAGCTGGGTCAGAAGTGGATCAGCCAGGACTCGAACCAGCGCCCAAATGGGATGCCGGCGCTTCAGGCCAGGGCTTTAACCCACTGTGTCACAGTGCAAGCCCCAGCCCTGTGTACTTTTAAAAAGCATAATTTTTAAAAAGATTTATTTATTTATTTATTTGCAAGTCAGAGTTACACAGAGAGAAGAGAGGCAGAAAGAAAGAGAGATCTTCCATCTGATGGTTCACTCCCCAACTGGCCACATTGGCTGGAGCTCTGCAGATCCGAAACCAGGAGCCAGAAGCTTCTTCCAGGTTTCCCACGTGGGTGCAGGGGCCCAAGGACTTGGGTCATCTTCTACTGCTATCCCAGGCCATAACAGAGAGCTGGATAGGAAGCGGAGCAGCCAGGTCTCAAACCAGTGCTTCAGGCCAAGGTGTTAACCCCCTGCGCCACAGTGCCGGCCCCTAAAAAGCATAATATAATATGGGCATTTCCTTTGTCTTTAAAGATTATTTGTAAATATTTTATAAGCCATAATTTATTTATTCCTTTACTTTTATAATGAAGATATCTTCTTTTTCTAAGGATCAGGAACAATTGATTAGTTTTTCTCCCACAAATGGCCAGAAAAACTAATTTGAAATTTTTAAAAGATTTACAACTATAGACAGAGGGCAGGATTCAAAACTTGAGCACTAATGAAATACAGCATTGAGTCATCCCCCAACCACCAGCACCATAATGTGTATATGTATCATTGTTTTGTATACACTGACAGTAATTGGAGTAGCTCTTTAAGGAGATTTGGGGAGTTTAAGTAGGATCAGTTATCTCACTCACCCACTCATTTGTTCATTCAATGAACATTTGTTGCCCACCCTGTTAGGTGTTACAGGTATTGGGAGAATGGAGCAGACTTTGCCCTCAAGGGGATACCACTAGACAAGAAGATCAGCTAAGCCAGACTTGGAAAATATTCAGAAAAGACCCTGATAGGGAAAGTAGTGGCTGCCATGGGTGCATAAAGATGGGTGCAGCTGAGATTTCCCAATGACAGCTATGATTATCCAGAGACTCAGAGGGTAGGCAGGAATTAGCTAGACCAAGAGACAGCCTGGGTCCATTTTAACCTGGGAGAACACCAGAGGCCAAGTCTGCTGAAGATCGGAGTGCCTAGAAGGCAAGCAAGGGAGCACATGAGGTGGTCAGGAAGCTGGGTGAGCGGAAGCCATATCATACAGGGCCTTGCAAACCCTCTCAAAGGGGCTAGAATTCACCCCAAGGTGCACTGGGCATCTGTTGATTTTGCTCATTGATAAGATCACTCTTGCCAGTCTGGAAAATACATTGAGGAGGCAGTGTGTGTGGAAGGTAGAGGTAAAGGTTGCTGCAACAGTTGAGGTAGGAAGACCAGCTCTTTAGCTGTAGCCTAGCCAGGGAGGTCCTACCAGGTCGCTGGACACAAAGTTCTGCAGGCATCCTTCGTTTCAGTCAGTCATTACCTCTAGCTTCTGGCTATATTCAACCATCCTAGCGTGCATTAAGCACTTAATAAAGGGTGCTTGCTTCTCATTTGCTGTTTTATATGTTTGGAAAAGGAACCTTATATCTGACTGTTTTCCTTTTCCTGGAAAGAATAAAGCTTGGGGATGAAAAGTATACATTCTAAGAATCATCCTTGGGTCTGGCACTGTGGCACAGCAGGTTAAGGCCAGGGCTCCAGCATCCCATATAGGCACGGGTTCAAGTCCCAGCTGCTCTACTTCTGATCCAACTGCCTGCTAATGCACCTGGGAAAGCAGCAGAGGATGGCCCAAGGCCTTGGGCCCTTGCACCCACATAGGAGACCTGGAAGAAGCTCCTGGCTCCTGGCTTTGGATTGGCTCAGCTCCGGCCGTTGCAACCATTTGGGGAGTAAGCCAGAAGATAAAAGACCTCTCTCTCTCTCTCTCTAACTCTTTCAAATAAATAAATCTTAAAAAAAAAAAAAAGGCCGGCGCCATGGCTCACTTGGCTAATCCTCCGACTGTGGTGCCAGCACCCTAGGTTCTAGTCCCGGTTGGGGCACCAGGTACTAGTCCCGGTTGCTCCTCTTCCAGTGCAGCTCTCTGCTGTGGCTCGGGAGTGCAGTGGAGGATGGCCCAAGTGCTTGGGCCCTGCACCCGCATGGGAGACCAGGAGGAAGCACCTGGCTCCTGGCTTCAGATCAGCACAGCGTGGGCCGTAGTGGCCATTAAGGGAGTGAACCAATGGAAGGAAGACCTTTCTCTCTGTCTCTCTCTCACTGTCTAACTCTGCCTGTCAAGAAAAAAAAAAAAGAATCATCCTCATTCTTTTCATAATATAGCGACCCCCACTTTCCTGCACTCACACAACTGGATCCTGAGCTATTGCCGAAGACGTGTTTTTCTTTAGGAAAGTTTTCAGAGCTTGCAGTCACAGAATTCCTAATCAGTATAAAGCGGTGGGGGCAGCATCTCAATTATGACAATATTAGGAACCTGGGAATTTCTCCCTTCGTGCCACCACCAAATGAAAGCAACTGTCTGTATGTAGAGACATCCCATTTCAGTGTCGGTAGCTTCAGACAGAGCATTTCCTGATCACCGGGATACACACACATATTTATATCTTGATTTGTCTAAACTGACCATCATGACAGAAAAAGTTCACGTCATTTTTAAATATACATTAAACTTTTAATTTTTCCAAAGATTCCACTGTATAATTGTATTCTACTCTCGTTCAACACTGGGCCAGGCTTAGGTTACTATTTCTGTTTGTATTATAAATAAGACTATGATGAGCACTTTGGGGATAAAGTTTTTTTAGGTGCTTAGGATTGTGCTCTTAAGATAATTCCTGAAAGCAAACGTAATGGGCCTTTCTTAAGGCTGTGATACATACTGCCAATTTGATTTAAAAAAAGAGTGTACCGAATTCGCACTTTCACTAGCAACATACGAGTATCTGTTTATTAGGCAACATTAAAAAGAAAATTTTGCTTATTTAGTGCACAAAGAAAACAATAATAACAATGCTAATATTCTTATATCCCTCTACTAACAAAAGTCTAAGCAAAAGGGAGAATTTGATAACAAAGATATAAACCAAATCTATACCAAAAGACTAACTGGCTACATCTTCCAAAACTTGGTAATTGTATTGAAGTGTTAGAATTCTTTGTCATTCTAAGTTTTTCTCTGGGTACTTAATCTTGCTTTTTCTTAACTGTAGGCTGTCATATTTTATAAATTAGTTCAGAGTTTTAAAGGGTTACCATGTGCCACAAACCGTACACTAACTTCTTTTTTTTTTTTTTTTTTTTTTTTTTTTTTTTTTTTTTTTTGACGGGCAGAGTGGATAGTGAGAGAGAGAGACAGAGAGAAAGGTCTTCGTTTTTGCCGTTGGTTCACCCTCCAATGGCCGCTGCGGCCAGTGCGCTGTGGCCAGCACATCGCGCTGATCCGAAGCCGGGAGCCAGGTGCTTCTCCTGGTCTCCCATGGGGTGCAGGGCCCAAGCACTTGGGCCATCCTCCACTGCACTCCCGGGCCACAGCAGAGAGCTGGCCTGGAAGAGGAGCAACCGGGTCAGAATCCGGCGCTCCGACCGGGACTAGAACCCGGTGTGGCGGTGCCACTAGGTGGAGGATTAGCCTATTGAGCCGCGGCGCCGGCCAACACTAACTTCTGTATGGTTTTGAGTATGGCTTAGAAGTTCATTTAGTCCTGAATTCATTTTAGATGGAAAAGCTAAAAGCTGAATATTAAATCAATAAAAAATTATAATAACTTAACTAGAGAAAACACAAGAGGGCAACCTTGTACAGCAATAAAATATGTTTGCATAAGATAAAAAATAAGTCAACATTTTTAATCAACTGTGGTTTTATTCCAGTAGGAGACTTTTAAAGTCTTATTAGTAAATATTGTCTTTTTATTAACAGTTACACAAGTGTAACTTTGCAAAGGAATTTAGCATCAACATCTATACAATGAATTTTGCAAGAATTTTAGTCTTGTTTTAATCTCAAAAAAAGTGAATTTATTTTCCATTGACCACTGTATATATTGCTTGGTTTAAGTTTGTAGAAAAGCAAGGAAATAGACTTGATATGCAAGAGATACAAAAATTACTCTTTTTCCCTTGGATTTTACAATTTACATTTTCAAAGTGGAAATAGTTTCATGTTTTCTGATTAGGAAAATGTGATCCATGAAATTTTAATAGAAGACTATTTTTAGAATTGTTTAAACTGCTAGAGAGCACAGTCTAATGATCAGGAAATGTATATAACCTTACACACAATTCAATTTCCTGACACATAAATGGCGCTGTAATTCCAGTTGGATCACTAGGTCCTAAAAACCCATGGCACACCAAGAGATGGTAGGCTTAAGGCACCCGTGCACATGTTTGCATGCACGAATTCTTGCAGATCTTGATTTCATCTGTAGAGCAAATGCAGACATCTGTGTGGTTTTTCTTACCATCTGCTGCTGCCCTCGCCCAACTCACAGTAATTTGGAGTTTCTGTGCTAAACAGCATAGGAGAAGCAGGACCAAGGAAGCAGTAGTAGATGTTTCTCCAAGCATCGTAGTGGGAGCAAACCTGAAGAATTCTGTGATCAAAACGTGGTACTTAGAAAAGTGATATGGCACCATAGTTTTATTCATCACCTTTCCTTTATTTCAGAACACCTGAGAAGGACTACTTAGGGAGGAGGAAGGTTTGCCTGGGCTTACGGTTCCGCAGGCTCAGTGGCCCTACTTGTTGAAGCCTTTGGTGTTGCCGCCTCTGGTGAGGCTGGAGGGTGGCATGAGGAAGCTGAGGGAGGCGGGAGCTGGCTCTTCCTCCACATCCACGTGGCTCCACAGTGATTGCCACCCTGGGGCTCCACCCTGGCAACCTAATCCAATCTGACCACTTTCCAAGGGCCCACCTTCAGACACCAGAATTCCATTAAGGATAGCCATGCACAGAAAGACTCTTGGAACCTAGACTTTAATACGTGGGCCTTTAGGAGGATACCCAGATTATTTCCCAAATCATAACAGTAGTTAATTGCATGGAGTTTGAATCTTTAGTTCCTGTCTTATACAAACTGTGACTTCAGACAAGTTTCTTGACCTCCCTGTGCCTGGTTTTCCTTCTCTATACACTGCAGTTATAATAATACCCATCTCCTAAGGTCTGCTGTGAGACATCAATGAACGTACAGTGTTTAAAGCAGTGTCTAGTATTAGGAAAGCTTCATATAGGTATTTGCTGTCCTAGAAGTGAGCCTAAGAAAACCTGTAGCAGAATTAAGAACCCAAGTATCAGAAAATGAAATACAGGCAAGAACCCTGTTGTCATGCAGAAGAATATCATCAAAATCTGTAAGAAAAATTCATATTCTAACCATTTGGCAAACTACCGTTGGTTAAGGATTTTCCTCAGTTTTTAGGGAGAAAGAAATGGAAATTAACAACAGCAATTTACTGAATGGCACAGGGGTTTGGCTCATATTACCGTGTGGAAAATCACACCTGCTTCTTCCCCTATTCTGAGACGCGGTTAGTCTTTTTTTTGTTTGTTTTTTGACAGGCAGAGTTAGTGAGAGGGAGAGACAGAGAGAAAGGTCTTCCTTCTGTTGGTTCACTCCCTAAATGGCTGCTATGGCCGGCGCGCTGCAGCGATCCGAAGCCAAGAGCCAGGTGCTTCCTCCTGGTCTCCCATGTGGGTGCAGGGCCCAAGCACTTGGGCCATCCTCCACTGCCCCCACCCCCACCCCGGCCACAGCAGAGAGCTGGACTGGAAGAGGGGCAACCGGGTCAGAATCTGGCGCTCCAACCGGGACTAGAACCTAGGGTGCCAGCGCTGCAGGCGGAGGATTAGCCAAGTGAGCCACGGCACCAGCCAATATGGGCCACTTTTATAGTTACAAAATAATCTCTCAACGTAGGAAAAAAAAATTCCAAAACTGGAATCCCAAGACACATGAGCCCTGTTCCTACCATTGCCATTATGACTTTCCAAAAACAGGGAAAGGATTCTCTGTGATTCTGTGTTTTTTGGGTGAATTTCCCATCCCCATTATTGTGGCTTCTAAGTTGTTGGAAAAATGAATGGAAAGATAAATGAGTCATTAAGAAAACTATTAACCATATTGTACTTTTGTACTTTTGCTTTGTATTATTCCATCTAAGGTTTCCAGTTAAGACAGACTGATTAAAATCTTACAATATATTGGTAGGAAGAAATTGTTGCAGTAATTCAAGTGCTTGTGCACATTTTTACCAAGATGGTTTCTGAATATCAGTGAAAATTTCTATCATGCCTTCATGGTGCTTGAGCAACCCTGGAATTTAGTGGGGTATGAGGGCAGCCCAGTATGTTAGGAGGATTTTTGCTAAGCAAGCCTGCCTGATTGATTTTATTTATAACATAATTTCATCTTGGGGGACTACCTAATGTCTAAATCTCTAACTTTCCAAGTTCTAGCATTTAGCTTCCACATTCTGATTGGAGTGGATGAGACCAACCACATTTACGTGCATATACGTAGCCCTTGCTGTGCGAAAGACAAACACACTCTTGGTCCTCTTTGAACTTAACAGAAGGAAACATTAAGCAAATAAACTGAGTAAAGAAATCTAAAAGATACAGAGCATGTGATGGGACATGACTGTCAAGCAGATTGTGAGGAACGACTCTTTAAAGTTTACAATTTGGCCTTTTTGTGTATTCAGCTAAATATATGTGATCGTACTGAAATAATTTGCTGTGTCTGTGTCCACATGGATGTGTCTTTTCCACAGACTTAGAATCTGAAGCCTGCTTATCAGGGGTCTCCACCTTCAAATTACATCTCCAATTTCTTCTTTTCCCACATTTTTATACAAGCCTTCTTTAAACATGGGAATGCCACGTGTCAAGTTATACTCAGGTGAGGCGTCGTCTCAGCCGAGGAGAGGGCTGTCTTTTTTTTTTTTTTTTTTTTGACGGGCAGAGTTAGAGAGAGAGAGACAGAGAAAGGTCTTCCTTCCATTGATTCACCCTCAAATGGCTGCTAAGCCAGGAGCCAAGTGCTTCCTCCTGGTCTCCCATGCGGGTGCAGGGCCCAAGCACTTGGGCCATCCTCCACTGCCTCCTGGGCCACAGCAGAGAGCTGAAGTGGAAGAGGAGCAACTGGGTCAGAATCTGGGGCCCCAACCGGGACTAGAACCCGAAGTACCAGCGCCGCAGGCGGAGGATTAGCCTAGTGAGCCGCGGTGCCGGCCGAGAGGGCTGTCTTTAACTGTATCTTCATGTCGTTAGTCAAAGACGACGAGTTGGTGATTTCCTTAGTGCCACCCACAAACACTCATGGCAGAAACAAAAATAAAGGCTTAGGAGGTTAATGTTCACTGTCATCCAAATCCTGTGCTTTTAGAGTGAAGTGACATGAAGCAGCAACCCAGCGGCGGGATAAAAATGGACGGCAACATTACTTACCATAGCTGAAAGATAGCAACCCCAAATAGCTATCAACAGGTAAATGCATAAATGAAACGAGGCACCTACATACAATGAGATGTCATTCAGTCTTAAAAATGAATGAAATTCTGATGCATCCTCTAAGATGAAGGAAACTGGAAGACAATATAAGTGAAATAAGCCAGATACCGAAGGACAAATATGATTTTGCATACTTGAGGTGCCTGAAATAGTGAAATTCATAGACAGAAAATAGAATAATGTTTACCAGGGTCTGAGGGGAGACGAGAAAAGTGAGTTATTATTTGTGGGTACAGAGTTTCTGTTTGAGATACTGGGGAAGGTTCTGGAAAAGGATAATGGTGAAGATTGTATGAAGCTATCAATGTACTTAAGTGTATAATAATGAATTATACACTTAACATGGTTAAAATGGTAAATAGCAAATATTATGTTATGTGCCTTTTCCACAATAAAAAAATACATATATGCAAAAGAAAAGATTATGCAAAACAGTTGGGGGGAAATGTAGTCACCTGACTAAAGCTGTTATTACAGGAAACCTGTTGCATTGTGGATTATATCAGTATTGGTCCTATTATGAAACTAAAGTATTTTTACAAATTCTTTCCTAGTTTTCTGTTCACACACTCTTTTCACCTCTCCCAACTACCTTATATCTGTTTTGTTTTGTCTTATACGATATTTTCTGCACAGGAATAATTCAGCATTATTATCACGACACTCATGACTGTTGACTCTTGGATTGCTTTGGTTGTTGTAATGCTCCATTTACGTGAGGAGTTTAAAGTATCCAGTATCAACCTGTGAAAACGTGGATTAAGTGGTGTTCATAGAGTAAAGCTGCCAACCTGTAACTTTGTATGATTCTACTGACCTTTTGTTCTTAGTATGCCAGGACACTGTTAGATGTAACTGCAACTTCTCTTCTGGCTTTGTGCCCCTTAGAAATGACATTGAGGGAGGGGTCTGGTGCTGTGGCACAGTGGGTTAAAACCCTGGCCTGAAGTGCTGGCATCCCATATGGGCGCCGGTTCTAGTCCCAGCTGCTCCTCCTCTGATCCAGCTCTCTGCTGTGGCCTGAGAAAGCAATAGAAGATGGCCCACGTCCTTGGACCCCAGCACCCATGTGGGAGACCAGGAAGAAGCTTCTGGCTTCGGATCAGCGCAGCTCAGCCACTGTGGCCATCTGGGGAGTGAACCAGTGGTTGGAAGACCTCTCTCTCTCTCTCTCTCTCTAGCTCTTTCTATAACTCTGTCTTTCAAAATAAAACAAACAAAAAAGAAATGACATGGGCTCAAATGGACATCAAGAAGATCCCACAAAGAGCAGGATTCAGATGGTCTTTCTTGTACAAGAAAACACCTTTTACAACATTATTAAAAACATATTGCAAGTCTCTTCCTTTTTCTGACTTCTCCTTGATCTCAAAGAAATACTTTAACTACCACAAAACATGCTCCATACATTACAGGTAAGGTAGTGAAGAGACCTGTTTTAATTTATAAGAAAAAAAACCAAAGGAGTTTCAGCATTAACAGCATTCCTTAAAGTGCTTGTTTTATGATGTTAAAGGATCTTGGGAAAATACATCATTATTCCTGAAATAATTAACAATTATTTACAGATGATTTGGTCATTTAAAATTATAAAATATCTTTATTTAAAAACCAAACAAGAAAAGGAAACAGCAAATATGGAAGTTCCCCACCCTGCCCTGATGATGCTTCTCTGACGTAACCAGTGCTAACAAGTCCACATTTCATCCAAGTCACACAAATAAAATCAGTAGTGAGTAACCGAGTAAGCAAAATGCTATGGTATGAATATGGTAACAAAGACATTGCGCCATGTTTTTTTACTCTATTTATCAAAATAGTAAAGGTAAACAGATTATAATCTAGATTATAAGATTTGCTGTGTAAATACTCCCTCTTGTTTCTTTAGCCATAGAAAAGCATAAAACAAAGAAAAAGCCCAAAGTAGTAAAAATGATCTTGGGTACATCTGCCAGGTTCTTAAGGCTGAGAACTGTGTCTGCCTGAGCTTTGTACTCTGAGAACCTCAAGTGCTTAGCACGAAATTTGTGCCCAGTAAACACTTGTTGGCCATTATTGGCTCCGGTGGGCAGTATGTGTTACCTGGAATTCGGAACATTGGTAGAGATCTGTTCCAGGATGTGCATTCTAGGTTTTAAGTCATAGCTGATGCGGTATGCTGGCCTTGCTGAAACACTGCAAAGCACCACGAGAAACCACACTGTGAAGGCCCCAGCACCTACTCACCGCGAGAGTTCAGAGATCCAAAGATATGAATCATTCACACGTGGTTTTCCCCTCCCAGAATCCTCATCCCCAGGGGTAAGGGTGACATTCTTTCATGTCAGGTTGCTACAGGACACACTATGAGCTTCGTGATCTCAATCCTAGATGATTTTCATAAGCAGGAGTCTGGAAAGTCTTTGGGTCTGGCTGTACAGAGTAGAAAAATACTTGTGTTCCTCTGACAAGGTGCTACAGCAAAGGCAGGACTGCTGCATTATATACATGTGACTAACCCCCACATTTTAATTAAATCATCCTTTTGCCTAAAAGCACATTTATCCCTCTAATTCCAGGATTTTAAAATTAATATTTTGAAGTGCATTGCATAAAAATATTTTAAAGCATAAACAGTGTTTCTGTTTTTTTCCTTAATTTTACTTACATATTTATTTGAAAGGCAGAGACACAGAGGTCTCCTATCTGCTGGTTCATGCCCCCAAATGCCCACAAGAAACTAGCAGCTTAAACCAGGAATTGGGAATGGCATCTGGGTCTCTCCTGGGTGGCAGGGACCCAACCACTTGAGCCATCACTCAGGGTGTGCATTGGCAGGAAGATGGATTCAGGAGCAGAGCCTGCACTTGAACCTAGACTCTTTGACATGGGATACAGAAATCTCAAAACAGCCTTTTTATTTTATTTATTTATTTATTTTTATTTATTAATTTATTTTTTGACAGGCAGAGTGGACAGTGAAAGAGGGAGACCGAGAGAAAGGTCTTCCTTTGCCCTCCAATGGCTGCCGCGGCAGGCGCGCTGCGGCCAGCACATCGCACTGATCCGATGGCAGGAGCCAGGTACTTTTCCTGGTCTCCCATGGGGTGCAGGGCCCAAGCACTTGGGCCATCCTCCACTGCACTCCCGGGCCACAGCAGAGAGCTGGCCTGGAAGAGGGGCAACCGGGACAGAATCCGGCGCCCTGACCGGGACTAGAACCCGGTGTGCCGGCACTGCAAGGCGGAGGATTAGCCTAGTGAGCTGCAGCGCCGGCTCAAAACAGCTTTTAAACTCTCACCTCAGTGTTTTTAGCTGGCAAAAAAAAAAAAAAAAAAGTGACTATATCACCCTAATTACAGAAGAGGCTCTGAAAATTCACCATTTGCCCAACAGGCCATCCTGGGGCCAGGTTCAGAAATCTATGCTAGGACTATTCCCGGGACACTCAAGGGACACTGTGGGCTGAAAGTTCCAACCTCAGATCACCTGCTAACTGTATGATTTTGGTCAAGAATTATTACACTCTTCATTTTTGGCTTAGATTAGTAAAAGAAATCAGTTTCAACTTGCATGAAAACTAAGCATCGATCTTCAGGTTGTGGTTTTGTGCTTCCTTCTGTAGCACTGTGCTGAGCAAGACTTTGAAACTCCGAGCTCTGCAAGTGAGTGCTGTGTCCAGGGCATTCAAGGTGAGTATCAGTCACGGCCAGTCAAGGTAAGATAAGCATGTGCCTTTTTTAAAAATCTTGTTCTGAATTATTTTTAAGGCCTCTTCTAGCTCTAAAAGTCCAATTCCATTTATACACATGGCTGTATGGTAATGATAATGAAATTTGGGTCAGTACTCAGATTTCCCCTTTCTTATCAGGGCAGCGGTCACACTGGATTAAAATTCACCCTAATGACCTCATCTTAACTTGATCATCTGGAGAGACCCTATTTCCAAATAAAACGAGTGCATTCATAGACACCGGGATTTAAGACCTCAGCTGATCTTTGCGGGGTTGCATGTTCAACCCATGACAATGGTAAGATTTTGTTGCAGGAGTTCTGGTGTCAGTGTTGAAGGAGTAGTGGCAGGAGGAGTCTGTGGCTCCCGTTGCCTCTGCGTCTCATCCCCCAGGAGACGTGGCAGAGTCGTCTTTTAGGCAGATTCTTCGAGAGCAGCACAGCTCCTGTGCTGCAGCTCCTCCTATCCTAGCTCTGCGTGCCAAGCTGCTCCTTCCTGCTTGGTTTGTCGAGTGTTGCTGTCTTCTACGGCTTTTCTTCTCTGCTGGATTCGTCAAGGAGTGCTGGCATCTTATGGGTTACAGCTTCTCTACCTTGCCAGGCTCTTTGTCTTATGACCAGGACAAGTGAGGCACACAGACAAGGAAGAAGAGAGCAAAGCAAAGGGTGTTTACTGAAGAAGAGAGAATACCTCCTGGCAGCCTGGAGGGCTGCCCCAAAGGCCTGACGGGCCTGCCTGGCTCAGGATTTTTATGTTTCTTTTCTTTTCTAAGATTTATTTATTTATTTGAGAGGTAGAATTACAGACAAAGAGAAAGGTCTTCCATCTGCTGGTTCACTCCCCAAATGGCTGCAATGGCCAGAGTAGAGACGATCCAAAGCCAGGAGCTAAGAGCTTCTTCTGAGTTCTCCCACGTGGGTGCAGGGGCCCAAGCACTTGGGTCCTCTTCCACTGCTTTCCCAGGCCACAAGCAGAGAGCTGGGTCAGAAGAGGTGCAGTTGGTACATGAACCAGTGCCCATATGGGATGCTGGCGCTGCAGGCAGAGGCTTAGCCTACCACGCCACAGCGCCAACCCCATTTTTATGGGTTTCTAAGTGAAGAAGTCGTCACTGATTCATCGAGGCATATGCTCACGGGATTTTCTACATGAGCCAGTTCGGGAACTGACATTGGAGGAACCTGTTTTGCATAGCAGATTGCAGAGTACCCAATCAGGTCTGTTAGGCAGATGTAACATCTGAATTGCACTGTGCACATTTCTGCCTTCTCCCCCTTCCACGCACTCCTGGAGGGTTATGTTATGTCTGTTTTTTTCCTTTCCTTTTCCAGGAGCTCCTGGAGTCCCTATCAACTTCAATAGAAGAGAAGGGGGGAGGGGCGGGCAGGGGTAGTTGATGGGACACATCCTAGAAGAGAACAAGGTGAATAATGCCTTACTAGTAGGAAGCACAGAGCATGTCCAGAAAACCTCAAGTACGTTGTTGGGTTTTGTGAGAGCACATTACAGGTGAGGGGTTGGGGGAGAGGGTCTTCGGCCCAACTGCTTTCCAGGTGTTGGCAGCTGCCCAAGCTTCCAGAGTGCCTAGTTCCATCATTGGTGCATTAGACAGTTGCATGTAGAAACTAGTGGAGACAGGCCAGCCACAGAGAGAGCTGTTGGGCTGCTTCCGAGAGGTCAGGCAGCAAATCAGGGACTTCTAATGACTGCTCTGGGGCCTTTTCCTTCATCCTCAGACCCTCTACCACTGGGGTACCAAAGAGCTACTTGCTTGTGATTCGCAAATTCCCACAGTCCTCATGGATTTCTCCTTCCTGTCAGAAAAGTGGCCTGCAAGATACTCCTGTGTTTCTCCATCTGACGGTTGCTGTATGAGTCACAGTGCTTGCTGCACATGGCCAAAGGTTATGTGTGTGGCTTGCTCTAAGGGGCCTGGGGGTTGCCTATGACTCTTTGGAAATTCTTTCTGCTTTTTTCTTTAGCATTTTCAGATTGAGTCACCCAAACATCTTGAATCTAAAAAAAAAAAAAAAACTTGAAAAGCATCTTCTCCTTTAAGTTCTTCAGAGCTTTTCTTGCACCTTTTACTCCAAAGAGCGTGTAAAAGTGGGTTAGTGGCTGCATTAGGCAGCGGCAGCCAGGAAGATATTGTCCGCATCTGTGCAGGATGCGTCCGCCCACGGCTGCCATTGTGCTGGCCTGCGATATGCTTACAAGTATGTGGGGGATCCAGCAACAAAAGAAATAAAAGTCCCAGAAAGAGATGAAAGATACCATTGTGTTCAGGAGCAGGGGCGGTGTGGGTTTCAGAATGTCCTGTTGTGTGCTCTGAGAGGAAGAGGAGCTGGCTCCGCGTATAGTATCAGCCATAAAGACTACAGCGTTCCTATCCGGGACTGTTTATCTTGAGATCCTCGTGTACATTTAGAATCTTCTTGGCTCGTCCTTTCAGAGAATGCTATGCTGGGCTTCGTCGTTCTCAGCACCTGACTTGCAGTTTTCCAGTAGCGTGCAGCGAACTGACTTGATGGGTTGCCGCTGCTTTCTGCAGGAGCATCCCACAGGTGAAGAATAAGAGAATCACGTCTCAGCCTGATGGGAGATCCCCAATGCCCAGTGTTGCAAGTCACTGACATACAGAAGCCACCATGAAGGAAAGCTTGTCAAGGCAACTGAAATTAGGACGCAGATCTCATTTGACACTTCTTTGAAAGGTGCTCTGTGCGTTGTGTAGAACGCCATGCCTGCACACATAGTAGTTAAATAACAAGCATGGTACGTTATCCTTGTGTTCGAGAACACTGAGATATAAAATCACTTTAAACAGACTCCCTCAAAATGTAATAGGAAAGGAAAACACTTAGGACTATTTTTAAGTGTTATGAACACTCAGTAAATAAAGACATTTATTTAAAGAAACACACACGCACACACACAAAAAAGGGCTTCAAAAAGTTCATAGGAATGTATATTATGAGAACATAATGCATGAATTTCATTTCTTGCACCAAAATAAGCTTATCTTTTAATTTCACTTTCCACGAACTTTTAAGTGCCTGTGTGTGTGTGTGTTGTGTGTGTGTGTGTGTGTGAACAGCAACAGTAGAGTAAAATTTTTAGAAAATAATGCCCTCTTGCTCTCTCTTTTTCCTTTTTGCCTCCTAACTTTTTTTGGAACTACTTCTTCCTTTTCTTTCCTGTTCTACCTTGAGCTTGGTTCATTCCCTTCCTTCTCTCATTTTCACCTGTTAAATTTTCTTCCATTTCTGCCTGCCTTTTTCCTTATCTCCTTTCACCACATTATAAATATAACTTCATACGCAATACAATCAGTATCTCATTAATTATTAGTTATTTTTAAAAAGATTTACTTATTTATTTGAAAGTCAGGTTTACACACAGAGAGAAGGAGAGTCAGAAAGAGAGGTTTTCCATCCACTGGTTCACTCCCCAGTTGGCCACAACGGCCGGAGCTGAGCTGATCTTAAGCCAGGAGCCAGGAGCTTCTTCCAGGGCCCAAGGACTCGGACCATCTTCCACTGCTTTCCCAGGCCACAGCAGAGAGCTGGATTGGAAGTGGAGCAGCCAGGACTTGAACCGGCACCCATATGGGATGCCGGCACGGCAGGCAGCAGCTTTACCCGCTATGCCACAGCGCCAGCCTCTAATTACTAGTGATTAAAATGTTTTAATACAACCCCCCAAAACCCATGCTTGTAACAATTAAAAAATAAAACTCATGTACAAATTATTTTTTCTTTTTCATTTTTTATAAATAACTCCATTTTTCTGATTCTAACACCAGAATTTAAAAATAAAATAAAAATATAAAATTACTACTTAACCCAAATAAATTATAATGAAAATTTTAAAGAAACTACATAGCTCCAGTGATCTTGTTTCTGTCAACCTCTGTATGACCAAAGAAAACACAACTGGCAAAATATCAAACTTTGGGACATAAGATATATAGACCTTTATAGAGTAAAAAAGATTGGTGATAGGAAATGCAGCAATCACAAGAAAGTTTCCTGGGCAAAACGGTACCTGCAGATCAAAGCAAAACGTTTGAGATTCTAGCAGAGCATCATAACTTCAAAGGTCGTCCTCGGCACAGCCGTGAATCTGCTTTGGGTATGACGGCTCGAGAACCTGCGCATCCGGAGATGTTCCAGATTAGCTTCCCAGTTGGACAGAAAGCAATTAAAGGCGCGGGAAAGGATGATGGTTTGCACCCTGAAGCCCGGAAATGCCTTTCCCAAACATTGCTCTCTCGGGGAATCTTCTGTCAGATAAAAGCATCATTGGATACCTTTCACATTTTGTTTAGGAACTGAGTTTAACAAACTGCAAGTATTCAGATGCAGAAGAATGGCAGAAATAAACGGGATGCTAGTTTAAATACGGAAGGTTACACCAATAATAACTGATGCTCTTTCCTCAAGATGACTGTACCGATGACCCCATAACTCCATTTCTTTTATTATTTTTCCCCAAATTACATGAAGGTTGATTCATTTCCCCTTCCTTCTGGTTGCCAACTTTCTGAGACTTTTTCAATATGCTTCATGGAGGTTAGCTTTATTACAATTAGACTGGGGTGCAGATGAAGTGGTGTTCAGAACTGGTATTTCCATACCAACACAGCATACTTCTGTATTGAAGTGGAACGAAGGTAATCTCTCTCTGTGTTCACATCAATTTCTCTCTTCTCTTGTCTCAGTGATAGTATTTTATTTTCTTACACAAACCTCAAAAGTTATTGCCCATGCTGTGCCCAGCGGGTACCTACTAAGGTTTGCAGGCTTCTTTTTCCACCAGGATTCCATCCCTGCCAAATGTAATTTGATTTTATTATACCATGGGGGCTTTCTTTTCCCCTGTCCTCATGTTATAATGTAACTCATCAATAGTCATTCATCAAGGAGGTAAGCTGTTCTCATGATGGTCTACAAAGAGCGCCAAGAATCCATTCCTGCTGCTTGTTTAGGGCTGCCTTCAGAGAAGGCAGAAAAAATTCTCTTTTTAATTTATTTTGAAAGGTAAAGTGACGGGGCAGGGAGTAGAGATGGGAAAAGAGAAAGATGGAGCCTTCTGTCTGCTGGTTCACTCTCCAGGTGCCTGCAACAGCCAGGGCTGAGCCAGCCCAAAGCTAGGAGCCTGGAAGTCCTGGGTGTCCCACATGGGTAGCAGGACCCTATATACTTGGGCGGTTAACTGCTGCCTCCTAGGGTGCACATTAGAGAGAAGTTGGATCAGGAGCAGAGGCAGGACTCAGTTCAGCCACTCCAGTATGGGATAAGGGCATCCTAAGCCGTGGCTTAACCCACTGAAACACAATGCCTGCCCCCCGAAAAAAAGCAGAACCATATTTTCCTACCTGGACATCAGCAAGGAAGTGAATCAGGGCCATGCTGTGGACAGGATTCCGGCTTCTGAGTCCGGGTGAGCCTACCTGAGAGGTTCCACCACAACCATCTCAAAATTCTCCTGCTTTGTCAAGTAAACCAAGAATGGGTTATATGGCCTACTTATGTGCTAATGTTTCATTCTCACAGTATCCATGGTAGACAAATAAAAGGTGTAATCAATCAGTATCCCCTTCCAAAGGAGCAATGAGTCAGGAGGAAGATGAAATCTAAGGCACGCTCCAACTTTATAAGTCATTGTCTAAAGCATCGATGTTTATAACTATGCTTGGAATGTTTCATCAGGAACAAAATCGTGTTGGATCTGCAAGTGGGACTAATAATAGAACTTACCTAGCAGGGCTATAATGAAGATTAAATAATGCTTATAAACCACCTAACACAATTCCTACATTAATACACAGAAATACTAGTAGCTATTAATTAGTACCTTGTTCACTGAACTATACTTGCTCATTTTTTAAAAAATCTATTTTATAATTGAAAGAGTTACAGAGAGAGGCAGAGCCAGAGACAGAGAGGTCTTCCATCCACTGGTTCAATCCCCAAATGACCACAACAGCTAGAGCTGAGTTGATCTGAAGCCAGGAGCCAGGAACCTCTTCTGGGTCTCCCACAAGGGTGCAGAGGCCCAAGTACCATCTTCTACTGCTTTCTCAGGCCATAGCAGAGAGCTGGATAGGAAGAGGAGCAGCTGGGACTAGAACTGGCACCCATATAGGATGCGGGCGCTGCAGGCCAGGGCTTTAACCCACTGCACCACAGTGCCGGCCCCTTGCTCGTTTTTCAAAGACAAAAATCAAAGAGCTAGGCAGTCTTGTAATTGTTCAAACTAAAAAAGAGGTGATTCTTAAAAGGCACGTTTTGTTCTACCCACATTGGTTATTTAGTTGATTTTCTCAGACATTGCCACTTGGTTAAGAAAGAGGTGGTCACTTTTAGGAACTTACTTGTTTGTATTGCATTATTCTCCATAGTGTGCTCTCTGATCTTGAGATAAAGGGTTGGAACTGAAGACAAAGCAAGAAATAATAATAAGAGTAAGTCTGAACTCTTTCCTTTTATTTCACTTCTATAGTGTGAAACAGTATAACTACTGTCCTATTTTTCCACTCAAGTAATGCTGAAGAACCTTAGAAACCAATTAAATGTACAGGATGGCACACTGTGCTGTTTACTGTGGTTGTTCTGTCCTGACCACCAGCTGCTGTAATTTTGCTTCCCTTGTACACATACTTTTTTCTGTCTATGAACTACTGAAACCTACGGCTATATGAACCTGATCGTAAAAAAACACGAATTCTTCTTGTTCTTTTGTTCCTAAAAAACAATCTATAAATTAATGTGATATGTTTGGAGGTCAGTTTAATTTTTATTAAAGCTTTCAATGTGAATACTCTCCAGTTGTGCTATTTCACTTCCTGGGGTTTTCTCTACAGCAATACCTGTACAACTGTACAAAAACATACACATTAAGATGTTCACTGCAACAGTGTTTCTAATTGGGTAGTTTTGAACCTAACTCAACATTCTATAAGTAGTGGACTTAAATAAAATAAAATATAATGCATTCAGATAACAGAATATAATACAATTGTTAAAAAGACTGAATGTGTATGAAAAATATGAAGGGCAGGACACCAAATCACTGAGTACTTATTTCTCTAGGAGAGGCATTTTGGGGGCTCTACTTATTTTCTCCATTATATATTTTACTAATAATTGATTTTCAAAATAACAATAAATTAGCAGAAACACATACTTACATCTTTAAATATAATAATACTTCAAAAGGTTTATGGACAATGGATTAAAAGATAATATAATATAATAAATACAAAGAAAAAACTCAATGGAAATGTTAGGTAGGAAGTCAGATATGAGCTTATGTGTGTGTGACAAAGGTCTAAAGAAATGATATCTATGTCCAGTATATGCATCTGCATCTCAAAGTCATCCCTATAACATTGATAATGTTTCAGGGGCAGCCCAGTATTCGCATCCTGCCCTGCCCCCTTCTACCCGATAATCTGCCAGGTGGGGGTCCCTGCCCCTTCTGCCTGACAATCTTCCACAATCCTCCAGATGCAGTTCAGTATCTGTGGGGAGCAACTGAGACTAGACTAAGTTACTGGAATTGACTTATTCTATGCATCTGCTCTCCCACAATATGGCGCTGAGAGAGAGACCAAACAACCTCTACGCAGCTGCCTCATCAGTTTGATAAGCTGCAGGAGCTGATCCTGCTCCTGATTGGAGGAGAGCAGCGTGCTCAGCATGTGGGTAGCAGAGTTGGGATTGGTGGAAGAGGACTATAAAGGAGGAGAGAGACAACATGCACCAGGAACATCTGAAGGAACACCTGAGGAACATCTGAGCAGCCCCCGAGAAAGCCAGCCGGTGGTGTGCCGCTCCTTCGCGGAAGTGGGGAAAGCGGCGGGGGATGCCGCCCCTCCGTGGAGGCCGGCAGCTAACCCGGGACAGTGTCGTTCCTCCGCGAGTGAGGGACCGGCAGCTAACCCGGGAAGAGCCGGGCAGACAAAAGAACAGCGCAGGGTCCAGTGTCATTCCTCCGCGAATGGGGGAGCGACAAGTATCTACATTTCAAATACCCTGCTCCAGATCCTGGGTTAGGACGGTGCCAACTAGGCTTCCTCCTGTCTGATATCTTCAGGAAAAAACTCAGATAGGAGCTTCTTAATATTTACATCTATAAATTCCTTTGTTTCAGGAGATGTGTGAAGACAAAGACCCATCTCCTTAAAAACCCCCAGCCTCAACCAGACGGTGTGCTCAGCCCTCTGCCTCTCTGCTGAGCCACCCACTTGGCCTAGCCAGGTGTAATCTCTCCACTCAACCATGTAACCCCGCTCTCCCCCAGCCCGAGCAACTGGGTACTCTCTCTCAGGTTCTGTCTGGAGAGGTGCCCATCCATTCTTACAGATGTCCCTTCCCTAATAAACCTTGCTATTTGACTTTCCACTACTCTCTGTCTCACGCCTGAATTCTTGTGCGAAGACAAGAACCCTGCCATTCACAGGTAACAGAAAGACCTAGGCAAATCAGAGAGTTTGGGGTAAAACAGAAATAACAGTCTCTGATATCAGGTTTATTGTGTCTTATAACAACAGTCTCTTGAGCAAGCCGCGTATGGCATCATTGTGTGTTTCTATGAAAAGGGCAAGGCCATCAGATTTGGTAAATTCTTTTTTTATTTGTGTTTTAAAATTTTTATTAAAAAATTATTTATTTGAGGGCAGAGGCAGTGACAGAGAAAGCTTCCTTCCACTGGTTCACTCCCCAAAATACCCTCAACACCCTGGGATGGGTTAGGCTAAAGCCAGGACTGAAAATTCAATCCAGGTCTCCTAAGTGGGAGGCAGGAACCCAATTCCTTGAGCTGTTACCACCTCCTTCCAGAGTGGCGCATTAGCAGGAAGTGAGTCAGAGCAGGGCAGGCCATCAAACCCAGCACTCATGCTGGTGTAGGCGTGTTAATGGTCATCCTAGCTGTTGGGCCACACCCTGGTGTTTTCACGTTCAGCATTCTTATGACTTCAGGATTCTTCCTTTCTCTGTTCCCCATTCCCCCTCCTCACTGAGACACACTCCCTTACCCTACCCAGGTGAATGCACCATGCTGAAAGGTCTTCTTCCCTTGAGGCAAATCCACCTGGAAAGTAGTCGCTGCCTGTAGGGTGACAGTGGAAGGGATTCTGAAGACACATCTGGGACATAGTGTCATTGGCAACAAGATGTGTGTCGCATGATGATGTGGGGTGTAGATTTTCATTTTTTCCCGTTTTTTAAAGATTTATTTTATTTATTTGAAAGACAGAGTTACAGAGAGAGGGAGAGAGAAAGAGAGAGAGAGGTCTTCCACCTGCTGGTTCACTCCCCAGATGGCTGCAATGGCTGGAGCTGTGCCCATCTGAAGCCAGGAGCCAGGAGCTTCCTCTGGGTCTCCCACATGGGTGCACGGGCCCAAGGACTTGGGCCATCTTCTACTGCTATCCCAGGCCACCCCAGAGAGCTGGATCGGAAGAGGAGCAGCCAGGACTAGAACTGGTGCCCATATGGGATGCTGGTGCTTCAGGCCAGGTCTTTAACCCACTGCGCCACAGCACTGGCCCCAGTGTAGATGTCCTATGAGGGATCTCTAACTGCAGTACCCAACACCTACCCCTACTTGAATAATTTCTTAATAGGGTACAAGTCCTAGGACTGTTTTAGATTGAATTGACTCATTTAAAGATGGCTGGATGGTGAGATTTCCAAATTTTCAGTTGACCTGGTGAAGTCAGAAGCAGAAAGCTGGAAACGATTCGGAGAATTCAGGGACCATAGGCAAGGTGCTTTGTGAGTAGCACGGGTGCTGGAACTTTGAAGAAATACAGTTTTACTGGATCCCTGTGTGAATTCTTAACTCAGTTCTGCACTGCTGGGACTAGCATGCCTTTTATAACGTGAAGATGATTTGATACCTACTAATGAAGAAACATCCAAAAATCAGCCCTTATGAAATTCACTAGATTCTGCAAAAAACGCCAAATATAAGGGCACTCAAAAAAATTTGTGAAAAAAATGGAATTTAAAAGATAAGTTTATTTTGGTACAATTTTTTTTATATCCAAGCATTATCTTTTTCACGGCATGCATTGTCCATGAAGACCTCTTATGTACTAAGAACTAACTTGGGTACATTGAGCTAACATTTTGCTTTAAACTCATTTTAAGCCAATGTAACCTTAAGAAATTCTTATTTTCTTGGTTGTACATATGTGTGCCCAGACACACAATTTTTTTATTCACATTGAAATTTCAAGTCATCTGACTTGAGTAAAATAACCTTCCAGTATTTTTATATGTGTCTCTGAGAGGAAATCTTTTTTTCAAAAAGCTAATCTCATTTATGTCTGTAGGAACCAGAGTCCAAATTATAGAGCACCCAACCTTGAGACATCTTGAATCACACAATTTCTGAGGAATCTCTAAGATCAAGCCGCAGGGTGCATAGTCAAAATTCCTTTGCTTCACTTCCTTTGTTCAAAACTCCAAAGTCAGAACTTACTGTGAAATCCTATCTAAAACAAATGGACTCAGGAGGAAGCTACCGGAGCAGTCACCTCCCCACCCCACCCCCAGTGCCCCATTGTCTGACAGGTTTTGAGGTGAAAAGGAGCGGGAGCCATACTGTCTAAGGCTGTGATCAGCCAGCTCTCAGGCTCCCTTCATTCTTGTCATAATTGACATATAATTCACATGCCATACAACTTACCCTCTCAAACAAGGATTTCTGTTTATTCAGCATTCCAAAACCATCACCAATATCCTGTTCTAAAACATTTTCATCACCTCTCCCCAAAAAATCCAGTACACATTACCAGTCACTCTCTGTCTTCCCGTAATCCCTGGCAGCCAGGTATCTGATTTCTGCCTCTTTACAATTGCCTTGTCTGGACATTTCATAGAAACAGAATCATCTTGGGCAGGCATCATGGTGTGGCAGGTGAAGCCGCCGCCTGCGATGTGGGCTTCCTGAACAGGCACCTGTTTGAGTACCCGCCTGCTCTGTTTCTGATCCAGCTCTCTGCTAAATGCGCCTGGGAAAGCAGCGGGAGATGGCCCAAGAGGTAGGGCCCCTGCACCTATGTGGGAGACCCAGAAGAAGCTCCAGGCTCCTGGCTGCTGTTGTAGCCATTTGGGAAGTAAACTAGCAGATGGAAGATCTCTCTCTCTCTCTCTCTCTCTCTCTCTCTCTCTCTCTCTGTCTCTTCTTCTGTCTCTCTGTAGCTCTGCCTTTCAAATAAATAAGAAATAAATCTTTTTTTTTAAAGAAATAGAGTCATCTTACAATATATGGTTGGCTTCTTTCACGAAGAATCATGTTTCCCAGGTTCATCTAAATTGTAGCAGATGCCAGGACTTCATTCCTTTTATGACTAAATCATATTTCATTGTATGCATACGTTGTATTTTCTTGATCACTGATGGACAATGAACTTGTCTCTGTTAGCTGTCGTGACCCACACTGCTGGGAATACTCACGTACACGTATTTATTTGAGTACCTGTTTTCACTTCTTTTACCTCCAAGTGGAATTGCTGGGTCATATGGTAACTCTATGTTTAACCCTTTGAGGAACTGTGAACTGTTTTTCACAGGGGCTACACCATGTACATTCATATCAGCATTCTCTACATTTTTACCAATGCTTGCTATTTTCTTTTCTTTTTTTAAAAGACATTTAGGGGCTGGCACCGTGGCACAGTAGGTTAATCCTCTGCCTGCGGTGCCGGCATCCCATATGGGTGCTGATTCTAGTCCCAGCTGCTCCTCTTCCAGTCCAGCTCTCTGCTGTGGCCCTGGAGGGCAGTGGAGGATGGCCCAAGTG